CTTTCTCTTTATCTTTCTCTTTCTCTTTCTCCTTCTCTTTATCTTTCTCTTTATCTTTCTCTTTCTCTTTATCTTTCTCTTTCTTCTTCTCTTTCTCTTTATCTTTATCTTTATCTTTATCTTTATCTTTATCTTTATCTTTATCTGTCTCTTTCTCTTTCTCTTTCTCTGTGTCTCTCTCTCTCTCTCTCTCTCTCTCTCTTCTTGCCGTGTTATATTACATGATAGCAGGCCATAATACACTATTTGTTTACTTCGGTTGTTTGCCATATGCTGTTTCAATAAGTGTTCCTGTCACAATTCGTCATACCTTGCTATCGTGCAGCATTGCTGCAGCATTTGAAAGTCTTTGATGTTATGCGAAATTAGGTGTTGCTACGTTAAGTTGTACTATACGGACATGCATAGCTACAGACACACGTGTAAATGTGCATATGCATGCACCTCTGCATATACATAGGCAGATGCATGTACGTGTAGACATACATATGTACATGCATGTGTTAATGTATTCGTATATGTACTTGTATATGCATGTGGAAAGGCCTAAGCATAAACATATGCAACTGCATACGCATGTTATGACATGTGTGTGTGTGTGTTGGGTTTAAAAAATATGTGTGTATATAATTGTGCACACTGGGATACAGCATACTTGAGACAAGTGCACACCCATGCACAGACGTTTGCACGCTCGCACGCACGCACCCACGCACGCACGCACACGCACACACAAACACACACACACACACACACACACACACATATATATGTATATATATATATATATATATATTATATGTATACGCGTGTGTGCATGCGTGTATGCGTACACACTGCCAACTATCAGTGGCAGAACGCACAATCTGCACGGGCACATACCCGTCCGCCTGCCCGCGCATGCACGAGAAGGCAGAGTAGTGTATTAGTTAGGCCAGTCTTAGTTTGCATCATGGCGACGTTACCCCAGGCCGCGACAGAGATGCCGCTGGCCAGGAAAGTCCGCATCGACACTCGGGCGGTGGATGGTGTCCGTGGTTTCGCCGTGTTTCATATCGTGGTGGGGCACCTCTTGCTCTTCAGCCGCGTGCAGGAGCTGTGGGAACCTTCAGATGAAGAGTTGGTTGAGCAGTTGCCGCGTTTCGACTTCACAGATACCATTTGCCCAGAAGGGTGGCTCCGACTGGGTGATACGTGCTATGCATCTGCCCCATGTGGTCGCGAGCACTTGACGTGGTCTCAAGCCGAGGCAGTTTGTGCACAGATGGTGCCAGGGGGGCACTTGATGTCCGCGTCGACAGCACAGATGGCCGCAGTCACGCAGACATTTTACCCGTGGATCTCTGACTGGTCTGAGCTATTCTGGACCGGCCTGAACGAGAGAGACGAGAAGGGAAAATGGCAATGGACGACAGGCAGAGAAAACCCCTCGTTCACATGGTTGGATGGTGAGCCAAACGATTGGGGAGGACAGGACGAGCTTTGCGCAGCTGGTTATGCAGGTGGCCTCCTCCTCGATGCCGCATGCGAATACCCCTTCAGATACCTCTGCAGTGTGGAAGCGAAGATGGAGCATTGCCCAGCTCCCTGTGCCCAAGAGACGCCTGGTTGGAATGGAGACACATGGCGTTGTAGAGAGCAAGGCCCGGAAGGCGAGTGTCAAGATGGTGGCTTCGGCACTGTGGCATTGATGGGCGGAGGCTCTATGGGCCTTTTCTACATCATCTCTGGCTTCGTGATGGCTGTGGGGTATTGCCAGGTGGGCTCGGTTGAGCCAAATACATGTGCGGCTGCTGTGCTCAGCATGCCTAGACATCGCTCAGAGCTTCCATGCTCCAGCTGGGTTACTGTAATGTGTAACTTTAGAGTTGTACTGTCCAATGCCTTTGAAACTGGTACCGTATTGTTGAGAACGTTCCGCATCCAACATATGTTCGACAACGCTTGTTGCAGGGTGAGCAGATCTGATACTTTTGGCTGGGTTGCTCTGTTTACAAACATCGTGCTTATATGCTTGGCCGAATTATAAGAGGGCGCCTGCATGCTTGCTTCAGCATGTCTAGGCAGGTGTTGTTTCGATAGTTGTTTTCATGTAGAAACTGTTGAAGCATGAGCTTGAGCATTTCTGCCTGGAAGACTATGCGAGAGCGCAGGTCTGCCAAGTTTGATTCCCTACATCCAAAAAGTAGTTCCGAAGTGTAAGTTGGACATGAATTAACGGAGAACCCTCTTGGACCCAAAGCCTTCAGGGCCTATTCCTATCCTGCTCAGCGCATCTCAAAGTCGCAGAACCCTACATTGCTCATGATGTGCCTGGCCCACCCCAGGCTTGTTGAGCCTTCTACTGCAGTCTTCAGCGGTGCTATCCTGACGAGTGCAGTCAGTGTCGCGCACTCTCTCTCTGTCCGTCTCCCTCTCTGTCTGTCCGTCTGTCTGTAAGATTCTGGAATCTTACCTGATCTTACTTAACCTTGTTTAATTTTATTCACCTTTGATCTATGTGGTTATATTTATACTCGCCTTTTGTCTTTGCCAAGATATGTTCATTTTATGTTGATCTGCATGGTTACGTTTAGCCCTATCTTTATCTTACATAATCCTTAGTAGCTTGACCCTACCGCTCCGTACTACATTTCACCCTTATGTCGCCCGACTCTACCTCTGTCTAACGATCTATCTATCGACCTATCTATAGGTCTGTCTATAGATCTATTTCTTGACCTATCTGACGGTCTATCTATCTATATGTTTGTCTGTCTATCTATCTATCTATCTGTCTGTCTGTCTGTCTGTCTGTCTGTCTGTCTGTCTATCTTTCTTCCTATCTATGCACCTATGTACCGTTAGCCCTCTATCTAGCCACCTACACATCTTCCCGTTTGTTATATTATGCACCTGTAACGTTCTGGGAAGTTGTATTGTCACGCATCTTGTGTTTGGACATGTTGGTCCCAAGTTCGTTTCGAAGCCTCCTCCAGCCACCCTTTCAGGTGAAGCTGCAACTTTGCGGTGTCTGTTGCGGAGGGGATCCAGACATGCCGAGATTAAATGCTTGTCAATTCTGGGCACGTCGCTTGGTACGACTTGCCCCGACGTACTTCCTGACGAATGCCATCGGTGTGGCCTTGAAAGCAGCTTTCTCGACAGAGGAGTTTGACAATTTCACGGCTTCCCAGTACGTGCAGTCTGTTCTCGGCTTGACTTCCTGGAGCTTTGTCGCACCTGTTGGTAATGGCTTGACATGGACGATATCGACGATGCTTTTCTTCTACCTCTGTTTCCCTGTTCTGGGACCCGCCGTGCAGCGTGTTCCACTCGAGGGCCTCCGGGCACTCGCATGGACCATGTACGCACTGCAGGGGCTGCTGATGATGCTCGGCTATACTTTCGACACACCGGGTTACTGGATTCGAATGTGGCCACCAGTGCGACTGCCCATCTTCGTCATGGGCATATGTGCCGGGCTGTCGCGGGTTCGCGGGGAGCAGCAGCGAGCAGCCCAGGCTGATTCGTGCCAGACACCAGTGAGCCGCAGGGATGTGCCAGTGGAAGTCGGCAGCAGGTGGGGCGTCGAGGCGTGTCTTCCTGACTGGGTATGGGTGCTCCTCTGGACTGGACTTACTCTCTATGGCACCACGATCACTTTTCTGTGCTCCACAAACATCCCCTTCCGCTTTACCCTCGAGGTGGTGTTCCCGATGATCTTCTACGAGTTCATCCTCGCGATCACGAGCCCCACTGCCGAAGGTGCTTGCTTGGTCCGCTTGTGCCGCTCCAAGCCCATGCGCTTCCTTGGTGACATATCCATGTGTGCCTACATGGTCCACGTGCTGCTTGGTGAAGCGTTGGGCTATGCGACGGGAACGCACATCGGTGCATGGCCTTGGTGGACACCACTGGCAGTTCTGCCCAACGCGATTTTGCTGGGCTGGATGCTGACGGAGTTCTTTGAGAAGCCTATTTCAAGGTGCCTCCGGCCAGACAAGCACGCCGCCCACCAAAGTCCTGTAAGCGAGGAGAAGATCGAGAAGGAGTCGCGTACACCAGGCGCCGAGGTCCTAGGATCCCCGTCGCCGGAGGGGTAAGTCAACCTGCGGAATGCACGCCAGAGATCGCCAGAGTTGCAGAGAATGCGCAGTTTCCCAGCGCCTCCCACAGTGTGGCAACGGTCGGCAGCCATGGGATTTTTGCCCCCTGCAAATCAAGACGTCAATGCAATGGAAATCTAGCCTGCAAAGGGCAACTCGGCCAACTGGCGAACACACAATGTAGTGGAAAAGAAAGAAGAACCGGAACACCAATGTCGCAGTGACGGTCTGACGACCATACCAGGCCGATGCAAAGCGCAGGATACTGCAATGTTTATAGTGGTTAACATTTACTTAACCATACTTAACCAGTGCCAGACTTATACTGGCAACACTAGCGCCGAGATAATCTTGCACAGCCAAGAGGACAGAAGGGTAGCCAGCTTCCGTAGACCATTATGCTGTGACACTACATAATTTGTTCCACACAGCCTCCGGAATCCCGAGCCGCTTCCTAGCCTATTGTACATGTATGTAAGCATGGACTAGTGTTTCTATACATGTTGTTTACACGTACAATGCGTGGCAATAGCAGTTTCCAGCCGTGTTTGCTCTGCCCCTTCAGTTTCCCGGTGCTACGTTTGAAACACTTAGCTGGATCTCTTCGGGTGGCTTAGGGTTTAGGGTTTAGGGTTTAGGGCCTTCTTCTCCTTGCATTCTTGCATCCGGTCATCTGTGTCCGGAAGCTTTCCTCGGTTTTGAGGAGCTTCCCTCTTTCCAAGATGTTTCGTCTCTCAGGTCGCGGCATGTTCCTGTCCATAACTTAACCTACTGTAGTTTGTAGATGGGTGCTGTTCTATGATGTGTTGCATTTTGCCCACTTCATGCTTCTAGACTTTCAACCCGGTTGAGCGGTTAGTTTCGCATGTGGGGGAGTGAAGATCTGGGGTTCCAAAATCAGGGTTTCTGGTTACAGACTTGAAGGCTTTGCTACGTGGGTCTGCAACAGTTAGCCGGGCTTCTCTTCTAAAAGCTCCTGTGGGTGCCTTGTGCTGTTCATCCTTTTGACAGGTTTGCCGTGTCCGTCGTTGCGCTCTGGCTTTTGAAGGCTTCTGTTCTCTTTTATGTACATCCTACTTCATGCTCGGGTGTGTCCTGTTTCTTGGTGCTAGCAGAGGAAAGAGAGCTATTTCCATGTTCGAGATTCCAGACATGATATTGTGACATGATTGACGTCTTGATGCTGATGTTGCACACAGTTGGGCTAGGCCGCAGCTCGAAGAGATGAGATCCAACTGTCGGGTTGCAGTGTTGAAGAGCCTGCAACCTTCCAGTTTTCCAAGGAAGGATAAGGTCTCCCCGAAAAGGGTTGCGACAGGTACCGGAAAGAGAGTATGTGCCGGAAGAAGTGCATGTGCGGCCCGAGTGTTCTTGTATAAGTTGGGGGTATCCACAACGCCTTGCCTTGGACACGCTGCGACAGCTTCGGCGACGTTCGGGGCGAAATGCGACGAAATGCCTTAGGCAGAATGTCGCCTTTGTCCAGCTGCACTCTCATGAGATCCGTCTTGTTGTTAGTTCGCTTCGGCCCAAGCTTGTGCTTAGCGCAGGCGTCACAGTCGTTGCCTCACGCATACGAAGCTGTGAGCTGAAAAGCCGGTCCAGGACGTTGGCGCTTGGATTTACATGTTTGGGTTCAGGGCCAGGTGTTGAGTGTGAGCTTTGTGAGTTCAGGGTGCAGAGCCTGTAAAGAGATGGAAGCGAGCCGTACGACTCCGGTGACTTTGATGACGAGGAAGCCTGACGATGGCCGGTGCGACGATACCCCATCATTGTTCGTGTTATTGCCCTGATGCCGTGACCCGTTCCGGCTGCAAGTTGTCGTGATTCGCGATGCCAGAGTTGGGATGTCTTATGATACTTGGCAAAGAATTTTTTGATACAATCTCACAATGATGAAACCCCTTTTGCATCACTAACAGCTGTGGCACTAAGAACCCTTGAACCCTGGAGTTTCCCAGTGTGCCGATGCCTACCAGGCTATGAGGAGAATGGCGCATGCACTCTGCGCCTTGCATCGCTACGAGGAGCCCTCTGCGCAGTTTAGCCTAAGGCCCCAAACAATAGAAAAACACCTACAGTTTTACGGTTCATGCCTGTCAGCCCTTTTGTATCTGCATGAAGATGTAAGTTTTTCGGGACGCTAAGGTCGGCTTCAAGTTGTAGGTCCTTGCCAGTCTGTTGATCCCGTTCAAAACGATCCGGCGTCATGTCTTAGCAGTCGTGGCATTCCTTCAGCCCGAGTGAAAAGGAAGGGTTGGGACCTGGAAATGGAGTCTGGAGCCTCTGACCAACTCTACAAGTAGGCCCTGGAAATGGAGCCTCTGGCTTATTGTAGAAGTGGAACGGAAGGCTTTGGACTTGGACATGAAGCCTGGCGAACTGCACAGGTGGGACCTGGAAATCCTGGAGCCTCTGTAGTTGAGCCTCTGACGCTCGTCAATCCCAAACCTGCCGGAGATCCGCAGCGCCATATCCATCCACATGTCCGTCTTTTTACACCCATGGCATGTGGAATGCTTCGGAGAACAAGCGAAATTTGACATGCCTGAGGCCCTGGACAATGCAGCTTGCTACACATAGGTCTTCTTGACGACTCGTATGACCTTATAGATGCTGTCTATCTGTCTGTCTGTTTGTCTCTCTGTCTGGCTGGCTGTCTGTCTATCTGTCTGTGTGCCGAGAAGAATGCGTGTTTGTGGCTTTTTTCTCGTCACAGTCTGCCATGCGGAATTCACAACAAGCAGCCTCCTTGTCTCCAACACCTGAGAGCTTCTTCGAGATTGCGAGGAGGCCGAAGCACGGCTGACGCAAGCTGCACGACTTCGGCCCAAAGATGTCGCCATCCGACAGGAGCGAGGTGTTGTAGGGTTGCGTTTCAGAGGGGGAATGCTCGCGGGGAGCGGGTTCAAAGCAGGATTTAGAGAGCCGGGGTTGGCGCTTAGTTTGCTCAGGGCTTGAATGAGGTTTTCGCCGGGATCCTCATGGAACTCCCGCACAGTGTTCTGTTGATGAGGCAGAAAAAAACACGTGGAGACAGAGAGAGAGAGAGAGAGAGCTCCTTCGCACACCTCGCAGCGTGAGATCTGAGTCTGATCTGGCTATATGCTAACATGCTATGTCTGCTAATTACTGCACTGCTCCTCCTCCTCCTCCTCCTTCTCCTCCTCCTTTTTGTCCTCCTTTACGCGACCACTACGAACTACTCTACTGCCACTACCACCACCACAGCCATCACCACCAATATCACTATCAGCACGAAATCCACTACCAGTACCACTGTAACCGGCACTACGACTAGCAGTACCGCTACCACGACGAATACTAGAAACGATTTCAAACCTATTGTAATTTCCGAATTTCTACCTACTCATCACTATCTCTATCAGCTGCAAGCTACTGGCTACCAAATGTACTAACTACAGAAACTAACACCTACAACTACTGTACTTCTTGAATCTACTACAGCCACTATAACTGTTATAGCTATCTACTACTTGTCACCACCACCACCACCGCCGCCGCCATGACCACGACGACTACTACAACGACGATGCTAGTGCTACTGCTTCTGGTATTGCTACTGGCAACCACGACCAGACGTTCTGGTGTTGCGACCTTAGTCATAGTCACCGCAGTGTTCCCGACCGCACAAACACCACTTTGGAGCTCAACGTCCCAGGCCGGTACATTCTGTGCACTCGTCGTTATCTCCGCATGGTTGGCATGCATCTTTCACGCAGTATTGTTCTTCTTATCGCCATGCTCATTTTTATCATTGTTTTTCGTATTATAGACCCAATGTACCCCCCCCCCTGCCGGTCCCTTCGAATGGCCGGATCGGAGGACCTCAACCGAACACGACGGCAGTCGGAGGAAGTCTGCCGTCGAGCCAAGGAGTGGGAAAAAGAGGCCAGCCACCTGATGGGAGTTTCCGAAAATAAGGGGGCACCCTATTTAGGGGACCTTATAATGAGGATCCTACTATTTAGGGTGCTATATTAGGGTCCCTATTTTCGGAAACCCCCAGGTTTCTCGACAGAGGGAGGGTGAAGATCTCTGTGAATACTGTTTCCATGGGATGCAAATTTACTGTCGGTCCAAGGTTGCTAATGACTAATTCTCTTCATCATGGTGATCCAAGGTTACTGTCGGTCCCGCTGCATGCTGCGTAATCACATTATTATACATTCGTCTAGTTTTGCAGCCATCCATAGACATTCGATTCGGTGATTTTCCATGTGCTGTCTGTCACAAAAGCTTGGATACCGTTGCAGGCAGGTTGAAGCTGCGATGCTTTTGCAGAACGTCCGTGCCGAAATGCCAGAACGCTTCTACTCTAGCTGTGTCTGGAAGATACACGAGCTTGCAAGTAATACTGAGTGATGCCTTTCCCATGTCCTCCTTGGGAAGCAATTACGAGACAGTATGCGCAGCAGCATCGCGCGGCGCTTTTCTCAATGTTTCGAGCCTAATGCTGTCGTATCGCCCTGACACCGTGACACCGAAGATTGGAATCTCAGACTTCGGCATCACATGTACCTTAATTTAGATCCCGCCTGAGTCTTGGTCGCATTGAACATGTTCATAGATCGTGGCACACGGTGAGACGTACCAGCTAGCTCGTCTAGAACAACCAGTTGAGAACGGCAGTGCGAAATCCTTCGTAACCCACTTTAAACTACTTCTAAACTCTACACATTGATTTGACATCCGGTCCTCCGCACGTTGAGCCCGAACTCCAAACGAAACCCTGAGCCATAAGCCTGGGTGGTTCAGGCTTTCCGAGACATGTTCGACCGCCTACCCACCGGATTCGCGACTCCAGACGAGGAGCTGAGTATACTGTGTTGCACTATACTACACTACACTATACTAGACAATACTATATTATAAATTACCATCATATATTATACTATACTGTATTACATAGTATATTAGGAACCCTTGAGGCCTCTGCTATTCTTTGGCGTTAGGGCGTTGAGGCTTTTGGGGTT